TCAGTTTGATTGTTTCCTCCCGATGGTCAGCTGCTTCCTGTCGCAGTGATTCAGTTTGATCGTTTCCTCCCGATGGTCAGCTGCTTCCTGCGCCGCAGTGATTCAGTTTGATTGTTTCCTCCCGATGGTCAGCTGCTTCCTGTCGCAGTGATTCAGTTTGATCGTTTCCTCCCCATGGTCAGCCGCTTCCTGCCGCAGTGATTCAGTTTGATCGTTTCCTCCCAATGGTCAGCTGCTTCCTGTCGCAGTGAATTCAGTTTGATCGTTTCCTCCCGATGGTCAGCTGCTTCCTGCCGCAGTGATTCAGTTTGATCGTTTCCTCCCGATGGTCAGCTGCTTCCTGCCGCAGTGATTCAGTTTGATCGTTTGCTTAAGAGTTTTGGATAGGGCACTGAACACTTCCTTTGTCTCCCCCCAGGTTTGTCCATCCTCGTTTTGGAGCCATCAAGTGCATCCGGACGCTGAGGGCCGTGCAGAAAGATGAGGAGCTCACAGTTGCCTACGGTTACGATCACGAGCCGACGGGGAAAAATGGCCCTGAGGCTCCTGACTGGTACAAAGAAGAGCTGGAGCTTTTCCAGCAGAGACAGCAGCTGCTGGGAGTCAGTGAAGACGCCCCCCCACTGCAATCCATGTCAACCTGAGCGACAGAAGAACCATACCCGGAACCAAGGAGGTGCTGCTTGTTTCCACGTCGTTCCTTCAGTTTACATACCGAGGGGCGGAGCTACAGCTGAACTCTCAGCAGCTCTGCTTCCCTATGAACATGTTACAGATGACCTAGACATTTATTGAGCGTTACCTGAATATTTCTGAAATTAAGGACTGTAGAAATAAAATGGATCTTCTGCTACATGAAAATAAACTAGCCTGAACCGGTTCTAATGCTTCTTTTTTAACTGAACACCTCGTTCTGCTATTTGGTTTCTTGTCTCCCATTAATCCCAGACACAGTGTGTACAAAACATTTCGTTTTGTACAGCTCTCATGACATTTTGATTATTTAAAGTGCAGCAGTGATCAAATGTAAACAATGGGAGGTGCAAAAAAACACATTGATATAGTCAGTGTGATGCAGGGTCTGATATAATTTTGAGTTTTCTCAGCAGTTCATCAGTCTGATGGTGGTGGGGAAGAAGCTGTTCCAGAACCTGCGTTGAATGCTTTGAAGCATCTTCCCAGAGAGCAGCGGGGGGAACAGTCCATGGTGGGGGGTCATTGCTGATGTTATTGAACTCTACTGACATAAAGTGACCAGTAATGAAGGAATCAAAAGATGAACTATACTTTGACACCAAAACAAATCTGGGAAGAACCCAAACCTCTAACGCTGCCTCAGTGAGGACCAGAGTTCAGGATCCAGTGATGCGAAACGGACACCGTCTCCATGGCAACAGAGTCTCAAAGTTCAGCCAAATCATAGAAGACCTCCAGGATCTGTGGAAACGTCTTTCATTCACAGCATGGTGGTGGGAGTGTGATGGTCTGATGCTGCTTCAGGGGTTCTTTTCTCCACCAGATCATCCTGGAGGGTTTCCATCATGTGGTTAGGAAGCTCTGGCTTCTAAAGAGTGAGAGAGAAAAGACAGTGGCCTAGTGAAAGCCTCTTATTGATTTGCTGTGTAATTAATTTAGCTTAAGGTCATCCAATACGGTTTTAATGATCCACCCCCCCTCAGGTGACCTGGTCTGAAGTGAAGCATCTTTACCACCTTAGGAAAGCACAGACAGACTGGTAAACTGGATCCTATCACAGTGAGGAAAACATTTAGTCCTAAATGCTAAAAAAAATAATAAAAAATTTAAAACAATCCCCTGGACTTTGTTTCCCAGTTTGAAGACGTTTCTCTTCCATCCAGGAAGCTTTTTCAATTCAAAATGTCAGAAATAGTGTTGAGTTCCAGGTTTTATCCAGCAGCCCAACTAAGCCTTGTTTTAGTTTAGAAAACATGCAAATAGAAACAGATGTTTTTTCCTTCTAAACATAAATGGCTTCCTTCACGCTTCTCTCAAACCACCTGTCTTCTTTGTCCAGAATGTGAACATTCTGGTCCTCCAAAGAATGTC